GGGCTCTGTGTGTGTGTATGTGTGTGTATTGACATGGTATGATCCAGGGTTGGGGGAAGGTGAAGGGTGGTACAGTCTGGATCAAGACCGAGAGCAGCGTGTGCTGAAGGGAACATCTGCCTTCCCATCTGCTCAGCCTGGCTACACAAACACACACACACACACACACACACACGTATCACACACACATTTCTGCCCAAAGCCACCAAGCTGCATTCCATTACATAATCATAATCTTTCTCTCTCTCCTGTCTCACTATCTCTCTCAGCTGACTGTATTGTTTGACTTATTTTAAATCAAAGAAATGCTGGTACACTGGTTTATTCCTTTGTGATTTCGCATTGCCCGTCAGTTTTGTACATTAGCACACTTACTATCAAAGCAGGCCGGCCAGAGAGTTTAAAAGCACCGGTGTGGAGCTGGAGTTTGTTGTTAAAGCACTCACATGAATAATTCAGAAGCAATGTTTGTTATTGGAGCTGTTAAGCTGTCTAAATCATCCCGGGTAACAGGGAACACTCTCAGAACGTTCAGGCAAGGTTCTCTCAAAGTTATGAAGAAGCGCACTTAGTATATCAACTGTTTGTTTGTAGCTTTCTGATCTGTAATCTTTTTAGCATAGAGATGTTGTTTATACTTTGAGTACATTTACAAGGACACCAATACTCCGATTTGAATATGATTAAGACAATACTCTGATTAGGAGTCTACCATGTAAACAGCGATTTCTGATTACCTTAATACGACTAAAGTCATAATCCAAAAAAAGCAGTTCCATCTGTTTGATTATTTTTATAATCTAAAGAACTGCTTTGGAGAAGTCAAAAGCATATAAAGAACTCGATTGCATTTAGGGAACTTTTTTTTTTCATCGCGCAAATCTGCCAACACAATAGTCTCAGGCAGATTATTTTGAGCCAAATATAAGGCAGTTATTTTTGAATATAGGTCATACATACATAAGCTGTGGGATTATCAAAGAAATGTTGCATTTAGCATAGAGAGCATCATCTCTGTATAAGACAACAATACAAATCAGTGTTTTCAGTGTCATATTGTAACAATATAGGTCAAAACACAATTCCTTAAGTCTGATTGCTGCTTTATAGTTCAGTTTTTCATTTGCATACTATGTACTTAGTATATTCATTTTGCAAACTTTTAGTAACTAGTTACTGAAACTGATCTTAACCCATGTACACTACCTGACAAAAGTCTTGTCATCGATCCCAGTTCTAAGAACAATAAATAATAACATAACTTCTAGTTGATCATTTAGAAAAGTGTCAGAAGGTAGATTTTTCCGATAAATCATCTGTTGAACTGCATCCCAATCATCACAAATACTGCAGAAGACCTATTGGAACCCACATGGACCTGAGATTCTCACAGAAATCAGTCAAGTTTGGTGAACGAAAAATCATGGTTTGGGGTTACGATCAGTATGGGGGAGTGCGAGAGATCTGCAGAGTGGATGACAACATCAACAGCCTGAGGTATCAAGACATTTGTGCTGCCCATTACATTACAAACCCCAGGAGAGGGCAAATTCTTCAGCAGGATAGCGCTCCTTCTCATACTTCAGCCTCCACATCAAAGTTCCTGAAAGCAAAGAAGGTCAATGTGCTTCAGGATTGGCCAGCCAAGTCACCAGACATGAACATTGTGGAGCACGTCTGGGGTAAGATGAAGGAGGAGGCATTGAAGATGAATCCAAAAAATCTTGATGAACTCTGGGAGTCCTGCAGGAACGCTTTCTTTGCCATTCCAGATGACTTTATTATTAAGTGATTAGAGTCATTGCAAATATGTATGAATGCAGTCCTCCAAGCTCATGGGAGTCATACACAATAGTAATTCATTCTCCACTGCACAATGACTTTATATTCTATACTGTACATTATTTCTGTTACAAGTTTTTTGTCTAAGCAAAGTCAGACCTTACTGTCATAATTAAATCATTCAAAATCAAGGCATGATCATGTTTTATTTTGCAATATTAAGCATAATCTAGAGGCCTTGGCCTTTCATATAAGCCATTTCTGATACCAAATGATCAACTAGAACAAGTTGTTATTGTTGTAACTAAAAATTTGATAGGTAACAAGACTTTTGTCAGGTAGTGTATTTACATATATAACCCAGTACTTTACATTATATAACAAAGGAAAAACACAGACCAACTAATGCAAAACTGCTTTCAACGTAATAATAATAATCAGAAATGTTTTTCGAGCATCAAATCAACACATTTAGGCACTCTGTGAGTCACACTTTATTTTAGAATTGTTTAGGGTACAATTCTTTGCTATTAATGAAGCATTAACTATGACTTTTGTCTCAAAAATGTCCTAATCTGCTGCTTATTAATAGTTATTAAGGTAGTAGTTAGTATATTGGGTAGGATTAGAGATGTAAAATAAGGTCATACAGAATAAATATACAGCTAATATCCTAATAATAGAAGGTGATACGCCACTATTTAATAGTGAGATTGAATATTTGAATGCTTTCTGAAGGATCTAGCCTGGATTCAGCTTTCTTTCACAAAAATCCAAATGAATTCCATTTCATAATTAATTCCAGTAGGAAATAGCAGTTACAAATCTTAATAATATGTCATAATATTTACTTTCTACAATTTTACAGTATTATTTGTAGTTTCTTAGAGTTACGTTTTATCCACTTAAGTGATAGATCACCCTAAAATCCAAATTCTGGTGTTATTTTTTTACTTTCTACTTCCAAACCTTCCAAAGAGTTTCCAAACCTGCTTCTCTTTCTCTCTTCTGTTGAACACAAAAGAAGACATTTTAAAGAATGCTGAAAACTTGTAACCATTGACTTTCAATGTTTTTCCTATAATGAAAGTCAATGGTTAAAGGTTTTCAGCTTTCATTAAAATATGTCTTTTGTGTTCAACTGAAGAAAGAAACTCAAACCAGTTTGGAACAAGTCAGGGGTGAGTAAATATTCCTTTTTGGCTGAACTATCCCTTTAACTTAGACTTTCAGAAACATTAATCAATCTTGACCTCAATCATGTTTCATTCAGATAATGGCTATTGGCTAAAGTAATTTAGCTTATTCCAATTCCCTTCTACTGTTATTCCAGAAGATGTTTGCAAAAGCAGAGAGTCCGCAGTTAGAGACGAGACTGTTGGATGGAGTGATTTAGGAACGAGAGAAGGGAGTTTGGCAGACGGACAGTGAGGTGAAGGAGAAGAATCTGACAGACTAATTATCTCAGCACTGCTGCTGGCACTGTAAAAAATCATTCTCTTAATCAGTATTAGATTCCTATTCCAGTAAAACCTCTTTAAACGTCCTTAAAAACAAGACATTTATATAACTGAGTGGCAAAGCTGCATTAAAAAAATGACATGTTTTCAGAGAATGTATTTTAAAGTTAATATTAGGTTTTAAGTTAATTAATAATATTAAAATTAAACAAGTTAATATCAAGCCCTAATGCTAACAATTTTTTTTCTACTTATGTTAAGTTTGTTAAATCCTTACATTATTTATTTTTACACTAATCATTTTTGTACAAACATTAATCTTTATTTTTCTACAAGTGTCATAAAATAAACACAAAAATATTAAAATGCATTGATTCAATTCAAAACTCTTTTTACAGTATTAATTTAACAGTAAACAGTCAAAGCAGTACATTATTGTGTTACATAATGTTAAAACCTCTTATCAACATTAACATAGAATCTTTTATATTAGTATAATGGGTTAAGGATGTAGAATAAGATTATGCAGTATATGTAAGTTATATGTAAAAATAAACAGTTAATATATCAGTAATAGGTAGGTAATAAGTCACTAGTTAACAGAGAGAATGGTACTTAAAGTTTTTTGGTTCTTAGAGTTAATTGGCACCTAAATTTAAGTGTTACCAAAAATACATACAGGCCAAAAGAAAAAAAAAACATGGCTTCTGGTGATACACTGAGATCTTATTAAGCAGAACAATGGAGATCTACATTTTACATGTTTTGAAGTGGACCATCTTGGATCAAACTTTTGTTTTTTCAATAGGAAGAGGGTCATTTGACACAAGATACAAGATGTGCAACACCTGAAACTACGTATACTGGAAGCCTGTGCTGGCATTTCTCTTGCGGTGTTGCTATCAGTGTGTGAAGAGTGGGAGAAGACAATGCATTGACAATCCAACACAATGGGCAGCACATTGAACACATATTATAAGTGGTCAGAAGTTTGTAAATAACTCATGAAAGAATAAAGTTACATTAAAACCAAGCACACCATTGTTTTTCTTGTGAATTTCCTAATAAGTTTGATGTGTCAAATGACCCTCTTCCTATTGAAAAAACAAAAGTTGGATCCAAGATGGCCGACTTCAAAATGGTCACCATTGTCACCACCCATCCTGAAAAGTTTGCCCCCTCACATATACTAATGTGCCACAAACAGGACGTTAATATCACCAACCATTCAAAATTAATTAAGGTTTATCCATATAAATGGCCCACCCTGTACTTAAGTATAAACACTTACTGTATAACTAGATAAACAGGCAAAATAAACTGATCTCCAAACAATAAATGCATTAAAGTCTTGTGAAGTGCTTTAAAATGTGCATTTTTATTTGATGTTTGATGTAAACTCAACTGAAATAAGAGACGGCGGGACATAGAGTAGCCCCTCCCCTTTAAAGAACAACCAATAGTGTTTTATTTGATCACAGCTGGGCATGTCACATACGAGAGAGCATTTAATTGGTCAAGAAAATGAAGCATGAAAATTGTTGATCCATTCAGGCGGAAGTGATAAACTACAAGCTTTGGATGTTTATATCAGATTTATATAATCTAAACGCAAATTTTTCTCACTGCTTTGGAGCACACTAGCTTTTAGATATCCTCAAAACGAACATACTGATTGAAAATACACATTTGCTAACATACTGGTACGTCTAAAATGCACACAAATACACAGAAAAGATATGTGTCTTTGCAGCTCACCTGTATGTGATATGTCTGTGTAGCCATTTCTGTCCTGTGAGGGCGTAACGTCTTTTTCTGACGCTAAATTTCGAGGCTCTGTCAAACTGGTCTGGGACTCCACACCGTGGCTTCTTCATCCAGCTGAGAGACAGATAAGTTGAATCTTTAATAACAAACTGCGACACATACTACGTTACATTCAGCACGGCTTGTATTGGCCTCTAGACTACACACTCTAAAAATGTTATTTCAACCCAATTCTAGGTGTCATAGGGACTGACCTGACTACTAGGTTCATTTTTTAATTCTTTTTTTAAATAGGACCACATTAAATTGAACGTTTTGGTTTAAGTAACCCAGCATCTCCTAGGGTGCAATTTCAAATAAACATTTTTACTCACCAGCCAATGTTTAGTTCAGGGGTCACCAATCTCGGTCCAGGAGGGCCGGTGTCCCTGCAGGTTTTAGCTCTAACTTGCCTCAACACACCTGCCTGGGTGTTTCAAGTATATCTAGTAAGACCTTGATTAGCTTGTTCAGGTGTGTTTGATTAGGGTTGGAGCTAAAATCTGCAGGACACCGGCCCTCCAGGAACAAGTTTGGTGACCCCTGGTTTAGTTACTGGCCACCATTTATTCATTCATTTTACTTCAGCTAAGTCTCTATTTCAGAAGTCGCCACATCGGAATGAACCACTGATCATTCCGATACATGTTTTATGCAGCAGATGCCCTTCCAATCGCAACCCAGTATTGGGAAACACCTATACACACTCATTCACACACACTCATACACTACGGCCAATTTAGCTTACCCAATTCACCTAAAGCACATGTCTTTGGACTGTGGGTGTCAGGTTCCATGTTTTGTGACTTTCACCATGTGCTCCTTTGTTCTATTTTCCCGCCATCTCGTCATGTTCATCACCTCCACCTGCATTTCACCCCTGTATGTAACCTCTTTAATCCTCCCCTGTGTATGTATAGTCATGTGTGTCATTAGCCCCTTTCACACAGTGATACCGGTAAATATCTGGAAAATTTCCAGAACGACTTTACCGGTATATTCAAAAAAGCGCTGTTCACACAGGTGAGGACGTTACAGAAATTTTCCGGAAAAGAGCATTCACACATCCATTCCAAAATACCGGTAAATTCTGACATCATTCACCACAAATGAGCTTTAAACGGCTGCGCTTGTATTTGTAAACATTTGACTAAATTACAAACTCTGTGGATGATTAATATTGTGAACAACTTTCGCAGGATCACTTTCGCATGTCGAGATGTTCATAATATGTGCGTGTGCAGGCGCTCACAGGCTGTTTCACAGGCACACGCAAAGCTTGAAGGTAAACAAACAGCGGCTTATCATAAGCATCTCATTGATGATTATTTACACAGTTGGCATAAAGAAGAACATATAAACGTGATCTGACTAACTTCTAGCAGCTAAATGTGTCTGGAAAAATATTCAAAGGTTTTTATTCTCACAAATCGCGCGGACGTAAATGCGTCTGACTGTTGTGATTGGCTAAAGCAGACGTCTCACGTCAGCATGTTCTAGACGTGCACGCGCTTATTACGGTAATCTTCCTTCTGCGTTCACACAGCGCAGCATTCCGGCAAATTGCCGGTAATGTTACAACTTCTCTTTCCGGAAAATAGCCAGAACGAATTTACCGGTATTTTCAAAAAGGACCTGTTCACACATACAACCTTTCCGGAAAATTGCCGGCAATTTTCCGGAAAGGTCTGTATGTGTGAAAGGGGCTATTGAGTCATAGTCCTGTATTCTCAGTTGATGTCCGTCATCACCCCATGTCGTTCCTGAGTCGCCAGTGTTTCCCATGTCCTTCCTAGTGAGTGTCTGTTAATAAATCTACATGTTTTTTTGATAAGTCCTGTGATCCATGCGTTCTTGATCCAGCCCGGGGGTAACCGGGGCACTTGGAGGAATCCCACACAAATACTGGGAGAACATGCAAACTCCATAAAGAAATGCCAACTGGCACAGTTGGAACTCGAACCAGCGACCTTCTTGCTGTGAGGTGACAGTGCTAACCACTGAGCCACCGTGCCGCCCTATTGGCCACCATGTAGGATCATAATTCTTTTCTTTTTTAAATTCACGCTCCTCATGCAGTGTGCAACCCTCTTTACACCATCTTTCTAATGTTGGAAGCTGCCGGTTGAAGGATGTAATATATGAATCATAACCTGCCAAACTGGCTAGTGAGTTGATGTATGTTGCCCACCACGGATGATTTTCACATGCATTTGGCAGGTGTTAATTTCAAGCCATGTCCTGAATTAATTATCTTTCCAGAATAGCTTCTCGTATTCGACGAGGTGTTCCAAAATGTAACCTTTATTTATGTCATCTCGTCCACATGCAATATTTATGCTTGTGGTGGGATTTAATTTTGTATTTCTGCATTTAGAACTAATAGGACCACCATGTTTATACGGCAGATGCCAGAAGGAATATTTGGAGATGCCAAATATCAGACCTATGAGTTTTAAAGCTGCTATCGGATAATGAAAGTTCGAGAGATGAAACTGGATCTCAACTGCACATTTGTTGTGTCAGATTTGATACATATTTGTTGTTTTGCTTTGAGATTCACGTCAGTCAGTTTCCCTATGGATTCAGCTCGCAAATTAAATGTTTTCAAACCTCTATCATAATCTGCCAAGTGAATATTACATTGTAAAACCCACTATTGTACAGCAAATGTGGTTTTGAATCCCAAACACTGAGAAATTCTTGCTGCCCTAATTTGTTTAATTGAATTGAATTAACTTTTCAAGTCATCTCAACTTACATCAATAAAAAACTGAGTAAAAATATTTAGTTATATATATATATACTCAGTATATGCAGAAATCAGATCATTTTCATTGTGAAAGAAAAAGAGAACAGCAAATTTAGAACAGGTTCACAAGCAAGTAACAAATCACAAGAGAAGAATCATCCTCACCTTATGGTGATATCACTATGCCGATGCAAAAAGGAAACAAAGAGAGCATATAAGAGTTATGAAATCACCATTATCCTAGCATCCTATAATCATATGTAGTTATATTTTAAAGGCTCAAGTAGTTTCAGAAGAGGGTTCTCACAGCAATGGAAAACCATTTCTAGTTTCCCTACGAGAAAATCTCATTGAACAGTTCTTACTAACCCTTTTCCTTAAGGTCAAAATGTGTTTAGTTGACTTTACTTAAAAATTTTTAGGAAACCTGTTGCTTTAAAATTAGGTAAATGAACTTTGTGGATAGTTATTAAAATTAAGTAAACTTAACAGTTCTAAGTTATAACCGGTTTACTCACTTTTCTAAGTAAAGTCAGCTTGTCGGTTTTAAGGCAGCAGGTTTACTTATTTTCTTTAAGTAAAGTAACTAATAGCTTTTTAGGTCCCACTTTATATTAAGTGTCCTTAACTACTATGTACTTGCATCAAAAAATAAAAAAAATACACTGTACTTACTGTGTTTATGATGTTTTGAGAACACTTGTGGTGCTTTTGAGTTGGGATAGAGGTTGGGTTATGAACAGGTTTGGTGGTATGGGTAGGTTTAAGGGTGGGTGAAGGTGTAAGGGATGGTCAACAGTGTATTTACAAATGTAATTACAAAAGTTAAATACAAATGTAATTACATACATGTATTTAATCAAGCATAAGTACTCAGTAAATACATGTATTTACACAATAAGTACATTGTAACAAACTATTAAATCCTGTGTAAATACATATTAGTTAAGACTAATATAATATAAAGTGGGACCGCTTTTTACTGTGGATAATGGAAACACAGATACCAATAAAGCACATTTATGTTGATCTAGCCATATTCAAATTTACATTCGTGCATTTGGATGTTAAACCCAAAGTGACTTTGCATTCAAGATATATAGACATACACTTGATTTAAAAAGTTGACCAGATTTCGACTTGCACTTAAGTGGAAACCCATTGTCTTAAACCACTTACGTTTCTGTACAAGGTCACTAAACATCCCTAGTTGAATTAACATAGGACTTAAGGGTGTATACACTGCAAAAAAATGCAGGGTTACACACAATTCCTTTAGTAAACACAAATTGATTAGGTTAACTTAAGTGGTTTTCCAAATTTTAGCGGATAGAATTAAGTTGAATTAAGTTGTCCAAAAAACTTAATAATTGTGTTGCTTCAACTCATTTTGAATAAGTATTTAGAAAAAGCAGCAAAAGTCTTTTTTTGAGTGTGTAGTTCTATGTTAATTCAGCCAGGGCTGTTTAGTTTCACCTTGTGTAAAAACTTAAGTGTTTTAAGGGAATGAGTTTCCATGCAATTCTCTTGTAGAGTCATCTATTCAGGTTAAGAATGCATACAGGTTATCATTTCCTGCATTCCCTGGGAATCAAACCTGTGACTGTTTTGAGGTCGTGCCCTCTTTGTCAATACCTACAACTTAAGGGCACTTACGGACATTTTGTTGTTCATGTAAACGCAGTGAGCGATGTTAAAAGAGTCCCCGAGAACAACATCATCTTTAACTTCTGACCCAGAATCAGTTAATATGGGAGCGAGAAGCTGTGAGAGTGTAAGTGCTACTCACTCGATGGTGTTTTTATCCAGTTCACCGGTGACTTTAAGGCCGTAGAGACGCTGCATGGCAGCAATAGCAGACTGCATGGTCTGTTCTGACCGCAGGATGGACATTCTGGGGTCTGTAGGAGGGAGGTAGCCATACGTCTGCAGCCAATCCTGACACAGAAAGAGATTTGATGTTAAAAAAAAACTGATCCTAACTGTACATGTTTATACTATGAAGCTGTTGTGTGATTCTGATTGGTAAATTAATGTTATAATGTGTGCAGTTATTGTCAAGGACATCAAGCACAACTGAAGTAGCTTCAGGCAGATTACATGTACACACCACTTCACCAAATGATTTCAGTTTATACAAAAGCCATTACAACAACAACCTGAGAACTTAAGATCAATCCAAAAATGAGTACACTCAAATAAATATATTGGTAATAATTAAACTAGAATAAACGAGAAAAACCAAGAGAATTTTGTAATTTTTTTTTCCAATAACTCCTTTGAATTTAAATGCATTAAATGACTAAACTCTTATTTTAATGGATATAAATAAATCAAATAAAACACACTAATATAATAATATAATATAATATAACAATAATATAATATAATGATAATAATTAAAATGTAATAAAACTGTTTTCTATAAATGCACCAAAAAATATTACCTGTATTCTTGAGGAAAGGTTAAAAAAATGTAAAAGGATTGTACACATTTATGCTGAGCACTCTATATACAGCTGAAGTCAGAATTAATAACCCCCCTGAATTAATTACAAATGAATTTAAGGGAGAGAAGATGTTTTCAACACATTTCTAAACATAATAGTTTTAATAACTCATTTCTAGTAACTGATTTATTTTATCTTTGCCATGATGACAGTAAATAATAGTTTACTATATATTTTTCAAGACACTTCTATACAGATTAAAGTGACATTTAAAGGCGTAACTAGGTTAATTAGGTTAACTAGGTAGGATAGGGTAATTAGGCAAGTAATTGTATAAAGATGGTTTGTTTTGTAGACTACTGAAAAAATATATAGCTTAAAGGGGCTAATATTTTTGACCTTAAATGGATTTAAAAAAATAAAAAACTGCTTTTATTCTAGCCGAAATAAAACAAAAAAGAAGAAAAAAAATATTATCAGGCATACTGTGAAAATGTCCTTGCTCCGTTAAACATCATTTGGGAAATATTTAAAAAAGACGAAAAAAATCAAAGGGGGGCTAATAATTTTGACTTCAACTGTATATATATATATATATATATATATATATATATATATATATATATATATATATATATATATATATATATATATATATATATATCCTACAATAGCATTAAAAACCAAACCTGACCAAGACATTGAACTATTTGGCATGTTTTTGCCACAGAGCTAATTTTTACC